TTTTTTTTTTTTTTTTTTTTTTTTTTTACCGTTTGGTAGTATGACATATGTTTTTGTCAAATTTTCATGAATGAATACACGGATAAAAAACATAGAGTGGCACGATTTTTAATACAATAAAAATATAATTTAATTTTCATGTAGCTTAAAGATTGTTTTGTTATTGACAAAAATAATCTAAATATGAGTATTTTTAATTAAAATAATTATTAAAAAATTGATAATCTTATATTCTTATCATATATATATATATATATAATATAATTTTTTCACACTATCAAAGAAATCTAATTAAATTCTTAAAATTCACATTTTTATCTTTATTTATTATTTTCATTTTTATTACTTTCTTATTTAATTTTTTTCTTTTTTTTTCGTTGTATCTATATTCTTTTCTTTTATCTTCTTTTTATTTTCGTTCTCAAACTAAATGCATTGTTAAAGAATAAATTATTTTTGTATCGTGATTTATTTTAATTTTAAAATTTTAAATTATATATTTTTTTGTTAAATTTTTGTAGTTTAAACATTATCATCAATAAGATATCACTGTACCTATTATTCAAGATCCATCATCAATCAGATGTTGAATTATAAAAATTAGAGCTTAAAATTCTACTACAATGCACTAGATCAATCATCAATCAAATGTTGAATTATAAAAATTGAATCTTAAAATTCAATTACAATGCCCTTACAATATAAAATCTTTTGATACGTGATATACATATAAAAATTTATATAACATCATTTTTTATGTATTTTTTTATCATATTATTTATTACATTTCTCACTTATCTTTCTATCTCTTAAATTATAAAAAATTTTGTGTATAGAAGTGTTAACAATGGCATGATTAAAAAAATTGAGTTGAAAAAGAATAGGACTATTTAGATAATTTAGTGAGCCAATAATTTTTACTCCTGCAATTTACTGAACCTATTTTATCTAATATTTTTATTTGTAAAATTTAAATAAAAATAAAAATAAAATGACTAATTTGTTATAGGCCAACGAACCAACCAGAGTCCAAGACTAAAATTATAAGCTATAATTTGTTAGGTAAAGAATTTAATTAAAGTATACAAAGAGCGGGTCCATGATAACGGCGAAAATTTGATTATTTTAATAATTTATTATCTATAATTGATTGTTGCTATAATTGATTATAATTAAAATGAATTTTTTTAAAATAAATTTGTTTAAAATAATTTTAAAAAAATATAATTTCATATAATTATAGAAAAACCAACTTTAGAAAAAAAAGTTTTATAAAAAAACAATTATAAACTTCGAATTTCTACATACCTAAAAATAATTTATTATATTTTTAAAATTTCAGCAATCGTTCCAGCTTAATTTTGCAAATAGTCTTTTTACTAAGAAAAATAAAACAGCTCAAAACTTCTAAACTATTTTTTTTTCAACCGCACTCTTAATTGTCAACCAAACTTTAAATTTTTATATCATTGAAAATCATTAATTTTCTGATAATATATACCCATTTATAACAAATTATTATTGAGAATTTAAACTTTTAAAAAAATTACAAAATAATAAATAATAAATATGAGAAAAGACATGGAAATTGAAAGGAAGACACCAAATAGTTTTTAGCCGCTTGTTATTATAAAATTGATGTAGTCATATTTAATTAGTTGATACTACTAAACTCCTAAAAAAAATCATAGTAAATTAGAAAACAGTCTCAATATATTATTAATAGAGAATGGTAGTTGTATTGTTTTACTAACCTGGCAGTCGCAGACGGTTGATGGAGCCCATCCTTTTGCGGTGCCTGAAGCCTCTGCGGCGGCGCGTGGGTGTGCTTCAAGCTTTCCTTCTCGCTGCTCTCTTCCTTCGTTCTGAAGAAAATTGATAAAATATACTGTGCTAATGCTGTGTTCTTAAAATTTAAATGACCATAAATGAATCCAATCATAATTAACTAACCCTAAACCGCAACAATATCACGCTCTTTAGAGAAGAGCAGTTTCATTGCTATATTGAACTCAGGAACCATAAACAAAATTCAGTGTTGTTCTCTATGAATTTGAAATGATGGAAATGTTTGACATGTTAAATATTGTTTGATTAAAAGAAAGTATATTGGGAAATAAAAGATGCATTGTAATAATACATTTGTTTTGGGCTTGAGTATCTGTTGTTCGCCCATCACAAGCCCAACCTAATAAGTACAACGGCCCGTGATAAATTTCAACATCCCCTTCGAAAATTCAAGCAATTGCATGAGTGCGTGCTGACGCAAAAACACGAACAATAGTAAAAAATAAGAGACAACTTTAATTGGTACTCATAAACATATTTGTAATTTTGTACAAATTTATGGAAATGTAAAAATTACATACACCGTGTAAAGGCATAAAACTTGTATATTTTGCATGATGGATAGTCGTAAAAAAATACATTAATTACATGTTATTAGATATAACTCTATGTATGAAATAAATTATGTTAATGAAATATTTATATCATATACATTACGGTAATCATTAATGTTTTGCATTAATATAATATTCATAAAAGAAATTAAATGCATCCAGTAAAATATCTTTAGTCAGGTCATGTGATATAATTGAAGACGTTGAATCTTTAACAAGAAGCGTAACTTCTCCACAGAACCACAATTATTTGGAAATTAATGTTGAAATTATTGGTAGTACACCTCCAAGTGCAAGTGCTACGTAGGGCCACCAAGAGGACAGATAAGAAGAATGAAAGTTAAAACCTAGCATCATCACATGATAAGAAAAATTCTTCCGTGCAATGGTAGGTGCGTCGAATATTGAATCAAACTAAGTTATTTGTATATACAAAAAAAAAAAAAATGAACAGGATTACCAGATTTTTTTTTATCAGTATAAATATAAAAAAGAAAAGAGAGTTTTTTTTTTAAGTGTTTTTTACATAAAGCAAAAAGGGGAAAAAGTTTTGCTTCATGTAAAAAAAAAAAATTTAAAAGTTATCTTCTTTAAGATTTGTATTCCTTGTGTCGGCGCTCATATGTACGACTCAAATTCTCAAAACCAGGTCTCTTGCTTGCACAAGTACGTGTGAATTCGCCACAAACTTATATGCTACGCAATAATTATATGTTTTTCCAAAGGTGATTTTCCATTGAAGAATTCAACCAAGCCAGAGAGTTTTCTAAATAAATGAAGAAACATGAGGAGTTTTTAGTTTCAGAAAAATATTTTTTTTACATTTTAATTTTTAATTATAAAAACAATCTCTTAATTTTCTTACTTTATTTTTAATTTTCAAATGTATATTTAAAAATATTAAGAATAAATTTTTATTGTTTCCAATTTTCATACAAACTTAATTATTAAAAAAATAAGAATTCAAATATAAAATATGTTTTTTTAAAACCAAACAACTCGTACAATACAAAAAACAGTGGAAGAAAGAATTATGAATTTTATATAAAAAAAAAAAAAAACCTGACCTTATTGTTGTTGTAAACATGTGTTTAAAGTTTGTAAATGAGAAATGTATGTTTAGAAGGTGTTGGACAAAATATACAATAAATAGGAATTGGGTATGTTGTTTGTTGTTAATAAAACAAGATGAGAAGGTTCATAGAGGAATTGTTGAGTTATATCCGCATGATTAATTAGGGAACAAACTTTATTAAAGGGCACCGCCAGCCACCCACTACTTACAAACAATATATGAAGAAAACTAATTAAGGTAGCTATGAATATTAAATACTGTGATGTCTCCTTAATTCATGGCTCATGCATCATCAAATGTCACACCTAATTTTCCAGTGCACCGACCGACATGTCCGTGAAACGAGTTCGCAGTTCCGACCACGCATCAATGCCACAACCACATTTTCACCCGCGTCTCCAAAATATTTAAATACTCCTTATTATCTTTTTTATTTCACACTATCTTTAAATCAGTTTTTAGTATAAACCTCAAGCGTGTGGTTCAGCGGTAGGGGTTGATCCACGTTTAAGCAAGGTCAGGGGTTCGAATCCTGCCTTGTGTATGCAGCCGCGTTAAATCTTGGGGAGCTATCCCACTCTTTGAGGTGCCTCCAATAGGTGCACCTAGATTTGTAAGTTAATAGATACATTAAAAATATTTGGTAGAATTAACTAATAAACTATTTAAAAATGTAAAATGACATAAAAGTAAAATATAAAAGAAGGTAAAATAGTTTTGAGTAAATGAGTGAAAATAAAAAAAAATAACTTATCAGTTAATTAAAGTAGTTTATGAATTATTAAAATAACTCATATTAAATGAAATTATTTTAATTATAAGCTAGTAATGTTTATACTACTAGGTTGAAACATGTGCGGCCATTAATTTTGCAACTATGAATTTACTAGTAGTAATTTAATTTACTAGGTTCGAACATGTGCGAACATGTGCGAACATGTGCGAACATTGATTGTAAAAAGAATCTAATGAAACTAGCTTAGAGTCTTAGACTAACTTGTAAGTTAATAGTAACTTGTCCGATACACTCTAAACTATATTAAAGCCGCGTGCAGTCACAAACTCAACGTGTTTACAAAGTAAAACCAAATTTTAACCTTTGTTAAATATTAGTTATGTTACTATAATGATTTATTGAGATTAATAATAAATAATTAAATTATTTTCTTGTCATTAATAATATCTTCATTTAAAACTTTACTAAAAAAATACTCATAAAATTAGACAATATAAGCGGTAGTTGTATTTAATAACAGTATTACTTAAGAGTGAAGGAATAATTTTTTTCAATTAATAAACATGCCTTATAATATTAATTGTTCCATATATGCATTTATTTTCATTGAAAATAAGTAAAAGATCAGTTAATAAACTTATATTAAATTAAAAGTATAAATGATTATATTTAAAAATAGACTTATATTTCTTATTATCAAGACTAAAATAATATTCTTATTTTTCACTAAATATTTCAAAAGACTCATCTGTGTGTTAGTTCATCAATTAATAAGTGTCGATTTTACTTAAATAATTTGACTTTTTTGATAATTATTTAATTAGTTTTAAAATAAAATCTAATTTTTACACCTAAAATATTGCAAGAATAAAAAAAAGTGTAAATAAATTAGTTTGTGAAGAGTTGATAAATGTTGGACTAATGAACCTTTATTTTTCACACAATTTTGATCAAGTCCTAAGGTTTTTAAAATTTACAAAATCGCTCAACTAATTTGAATGTACTCAATGAATCAAAGACAGAGAGTAAAAGATCACATTAGAAAAATCTGCTCAACTATTTAGAAACAATTGAGTGTATTTGACATAGAGAAGTAAGAGATCTATATACATTCTAGAAAAAGAGTTGGATGCATTAGAAAGGACTCAACAAATTAAACTTTCTTCATCATGAATAATTCAAAATCCACTTAAGCGTTTGAAAATGATGGAGCAGATTGGTCACTTATAGCATATTCTATTTTAATTTCTTGGACATATATAAGGGAAGAAGAGAGAGAAAAATGGGGATAAAAAAGATACAAAAAGATAATAGAGTTTTGAAGGAGGAAAGTATCAAGACCTTTTGAGGAGAAGGATTTTAGGTTCAATCTTTTCTTTTGTATGCTTTTATTGTAAATAGAGATTGCTCTCACCATCATGAGTAGTCAATCTTCTTTTCTATTGAGATTGAGTGTAATCTATCAAACCCTTTTGGTTTATATATATAATACCTTGTTATTTAGTGTTAGTGGTTTTGTTCTTAAGGCTTAAGGAGAATTGATCACTTACCTTTAATTTGTGATATAAATCTTGATTGAGAAATATATTATAAATATGATTTGAATCAAATTACCTGATGATTATAAAGGTTAGGAATAAATTTATAATTGTTACTTGCACAAATTTTTGAACTTAATATAAGGACTTTGATTTAGTAAACTAAGGAATTGGTTATTGAATTAGGATCCTTAAAATTTCTAAAGACAAGAAATTGATTTATAATGACCTTAAATAATTCAATAATACTAAGTAATAAGAATCATATATAGATATCTAAGAAAAGAAGAGGAGTGAAATAGATGAAATTTAACCCCAACAATCTCTCTCACTGTCATCTTTACAAAGTTACGTTGCCATTTGATTATTTGTTTACTTACTTATTTAATGTCCAATTTCAAAACAACAAATTTATAAACAAGTGTAAATCTTTCTTTTACAAGCTTTAATTAGAATAATAAAAATTACAAAATATAGTCCAAATTTGTGTGGATACAACACTCAAACTTTAATTTATAATATAACAGACTTGGTATGCTTATCACAAAAATCTAACACCAACCTACTTCTAAGTGAGGTAGGCCAAGATTTTCAGTCCGTTTTAATCAAGTAAGTTAGCTCATTTCATCCTATTTTTGATAGATTGGGCCAAAATAAACTAGGTCAAACTAACCCATTTTGTCATTTCTACTAACAATTAATGACTGATTTGTATTTTTTTTTTTACTAATTTAACTGTTACAAAAGTATTTTTTTATATAATTATGATATTAGAATGAAATATTTATTAATTTTATTAATGACTAATTTGTGTAAAACAAAAAATTGAGACATCACTTTTATGGAAATCTTTTTTTCAACCATATATTTTTTTTATATATTCACAAAACTTAAATATGATATCACTTATTTAAAAAAACAAAGTTTTGTCCCACTTAGAAACGACTTATTGGGAATTGTTATAATGCGATTGCATACAATTAACTAAAAATGACAAATTGGAGTACGAACAGGAATAGCCACATATATCTATATTGGACAAAAGAAAAAGGAATCGCCTAGACTTTAAATGGAACTCATTACATAGGTACATGAATCATTGCAAGTATGATGTAAATAGAGGCACTCATCCCTATCTTTAAAAGTTTTATGGAGAATCATAATCATATGTTATAAAAGCATTTACCACAAAAACATATCTTATGTTATCCAAGTTATGAGCAGTCTTAATTGACCAGATCCTTGAAGTTAATTGGTCTGGTCTTGCCAATAAGTTCAAACATCAGTATTTCATATTGTAACTTGTTACGTTACTTTGCAGAAGGTTCACTGGGATCATGTGCATCTCATGCACGCCATGATTGTAGATTCACATGCTTGAGCAGATTTGCAGATACAATGTTCATAGTTGTAAGATATAAATTGAACTCTTTTGTAATGGCCCCCTAGAAGCATCCTTCTGCTGAAAAGCTACAAGAGAGAAGTGTGATAGCTAGTGGTCCTGATTGAGAAATTTTTAAAGAGTGGTCCTGAGGGAATGGAATTGGTATATTTGAGTGGATCATTTTCATATTTGAAGAAACCACATATGTAAATATATGGTATCCTGATTGAAATACTAAGCATGTTCCTCTTTTCTTAACAATTAACAAATCGGCTATTCTGTTTTTCAGCGTATAGAAAGTTTAGTTGCCTTCTTTGCTTATTATTAACACACACTTCCGAAACTTAGCTTTTTCCGGAAAAAAAGGGATGCCAATTGCCAAGCACGTTATCTAATTCGCTTTCGTAGGGACTACTTTTGGTTTGGTAGCTATAATTTGTGTATACGATTCACTTTGTACATGTCTAATTTTATTTTCTAATTTTTAAATTAACCTTCAAAATTTTAATTATTTTAATACTCTATTATTGAAATAATCTATTATAATCAAAATTATTATTTTTGTTTATTAGCGAAAAATAATTTCAAGATAATTAATTTTTTTAAAGACTCTTATTTATAAACATTTTTTTAATATGTTTAAACAAGTCAATCCATAATGTATTCCTTAATAATTTTTAATTTAAAGATCATTAAAAAATTTAATGTAATATATATATATATAAAGTCTAAATTATATAAAATTTAATACTTATATTCTAAAAAAATATTAAAGATATTGAATAAGTTTAAACTTATATTCTAAAAAAATATTAAAGATATCATTGATTTTAATATCAGATGTCAATAGAATCTCACTATTAAATAATATTATTTTCGTTCCTTTTTATTTATCATTTAATGTTTATATGCATAAATAAAGAAATATAATACATTTTTTTATATGTTAATATGAAGTTTCCAATTTTATTCATTGTATTATAATTATATAATAAATAACTATATATTAGTGTTTTTTCATTTTCATTGTGAGAAGTAAGGATATATTTAGTAAAAAAATAATTAATGTTATCTTAAAATTTAAAAATATATCTAATATGAAAAAAATGTTCCAAAACCATGATAAGTCAAAAGAAACAAAAAAAGTTGGAAATAAATGTTCTTAGTTCAAATAATTCAATACATATTTTTTTTAATAAAAATTATATTTTGATTCCCATTTTTGGACGTTGGAGATACTACTTATAAAAGTAGACTCCCATAAAAAAAAAAAAGTTATATTTCTTTATAAAACTAAAAAAAAAGTCACTTAATTAATAGAATAAATGATTATTTTTACCTTTTGAAAACATTCTCCTAAGTTAGAAAAGAGTAGTTACGCAAAGTTTGATTATGAATTTATGAGGGAGATCCGATTATTATATTATACACGTTTCCCATCCGAAAAGGAAATTTCAAAGTATCAATTCACGACCATTATAATATTTAATTAAAAATTAATTCCTGGCAGACCTTGAGCACGTCGTTTGGAAAGACGCAAGAAATCACGTCGAGTGAGGGAAAAAAAAGGCGAAAACCCACGTGGAGAGCAGAGAAGCAAACAGAACGCAAGGGTAGTATTGTAGTTTGTGTTTGTGGATCCATAATAATACGTACGTTAGAAAGGAAAATGTTATGTGAATTGAATTCCCGTAAAGAAACAAAGTCTCTTTTCTCCTGTTGCTGCCAACTCCACCTGAAGCTTCCCCAACCCCACGCCACGACGCTTTCCCTCTTTATTATTATTATTATTATTATTATTTGTTGATAGTGTTGTTCTGCATGCGCCACCACAATTGATTCCGATAATGGGAAACATCTGCGCCCGTTTGAAGCGGTCGCAACAACCACCCTCTGCCAAGAAGCGTTCCTCTTCGCGCAGAGAGAGGAAGCTCAACGACGCCGCGATTCGCGAGCAGGCCATAGCCGCCGCGATTCTCTTCAAGCACCACCACCACCAGCAGCAGCAGCATTTCGATCGCTCCACTTCGCTTCGGTACCCCAATGGAGGCTCCAAGAAGAACAGCAGCAACGCCTTGCCCAGAAGTTCCAGTTCCAGGTCGAGGTCCCTCACCGACCCCCTTCTTCAACCGCATCAGCTTCTTAATCAGGTTCTGCTTAAGCGATTATAACACTCTCTTTGCTTCTTCTTTTGTTAATTCTGGAGGATTTGATTTCACGATAGCGTCTTAAGTTGCAGTCACTGTCGCTCCTTTGATGTTGCATGAAATTATGGACAATTGAAACTATGTAATTTCCAGTTTTTTTTAGCACTTTTGAGGCGAAAAAGGGGATTTTTTTTTACTAATTTTTTCTTGGTTGATTTAGTTTGTTGTTGTACTTGTATCAGATGGTTTTGGAAAATTTGAGGATTTAATTTGGTCTGGTGGGTTTGGTTTGTTGTACTGGTGTGGTGATTAAGGTAACTTTGGAGTGATGGGACTATTGTTTTCTGTTTGTTAGATTTTTTTTAAAATCTGTGCTTGATTTCATGGGCGTTTTTATGAAGTGAAACTGAGTATATGATTCTTGTCTGTTTTGATGTTTATGAGATTTTCTGGATTCGGGGCTTGGTTGAAGACATGCTGTTGATAATTACTGGATGGAGTTTCTATGATGAAGTATTTTCTTTGAGTTGAAGTTAAAGTAGATGAGATGTGGGAAATGGAATGAGATGTTCATCTGTGATGATCATTTTTTTTTTTTTTTTTTTACATCCCGTACTACTGTTCGTTCGAGAGGAAATTGTGCAAGACATGTGTTGAAGCATTTTGGGGGCATGTGCTGTAGGCACTTAAAATAGAATTTTGTACAAGAATAATGTGTTCTAGAGTTGGATAATGGGAGGGTGTAATGAGGAGGCGAGGTTTGTTCTATTGGAGTGTTTTTTACTGAAAGTTAGGTATAGCTTTGAAGGTAACCTTGTTTTGCTTCTCTCTTGTCACAACAGTGATGTTGGGGTTTCTAAAATGATATTGACATTCACATAGATCTAGTGCTGTTCTGTCTTAATTAAAGTTGTAATATTGTGTCATTTTCTTGGTTAAACATTTACATTGAAAAATTCTAATCATTTGATTTTGGTATGGTGATGCATAAAACAGGAGTCCACTCTTTTTATTTATTTATTTTTTAAGTGTAGCAAAAAAAAAAAAATGTATGTTGTAATACTTTCATGTTATATTTGGCAGGAATGGGGCAATGCAAACACATTATCTGTTATTAGTTCAAATACTAAGAGTTCTCTTTACTTGTCATGTTCCTGTATTCCCTTTAGCTTATAAATACTGCTTTTCAATTTGACAGGGTGTGAAGGTCGATGATCTTGAGACAAGTCATATTGTCCTTGTTCATGGAGGTGGCTTTGGGGCCTGGTGTTGGTACAAATCTATAGCACTTCTAGAAGAAAGTGGTTATAAAGTAGCTGCCATAGATTTAACTGGTTCTGGAGTGAGTTCGTTTGATACAAACAGCATAACAAGTCTGTCACAATATGTGAAGCCACTTACTGACTTCCTTGAAAACCTTCCAGAAGGCGGAAAGGTACTTATATTGCTTTCCGATTTTATAACTAATGGATTGATCTATTCTATCTTTATTATATATATTTCCATTGGCTGTGTTTAAGTATTTAAGTGCAGGTAGAATGCTTGGTATTGCCAGCTTCTGATTAAACTATGACTTTTGTGACTTGCCCACCCCCTCCCCCTAAAAGTGCTGTGTAAGAGTTTGTATTATGGCTATGAATTCCAATATAGATTAATGGCCTTGGACAATAGCTAAGGATTCTCATGGATAACGATATCCTATATGTAATATTGTGGTTTAAAATAATAGGAATTTGATTTTATTGTGGAAAAAAAATAGGACAAAAAAGGGTGCTAAAAAGCAAAGCAATTGGATTTACAGAAAAAAGGTGTAGAGAAAATTATGAATGATTTGGATTGAAGATTACAATTGCAAAAATTGTAAAACAACCAAGTTATTACCTTACTTATGGTTAAATAGCAAAGGAAAAATTATCTGGTTATCTTAGTTATTTCTGTATATATCTGAATACAGGCAATTGGAGTTATGCTTTACTTGAAATTTTCTATTCTGTAAAAAAAAACAAATAGTACAACTGTCCTGAAACTACTTAGGATATGTGGTGACTGGTGACATTCTAAACAGTGTTGCAATATTAAGTTCTCTCTCTCTCTCACTGTCTCTCTCTCTCTCTTTATTTTTCTTAGAGTTAAATGATTCAATTTAGCTTGGTACTGATTTAACTAATTGTATCTGGAAACAGACTGTAGTCTTCATTTGTTTCATTTAAGTCACACTGTTGAAAATCCGTGTGAAATGTAAATGTTTCACCCTCAGTTCACTCTTGGGAGGACACTGATGGTTTGCTGTTGGGCCATTTGGCATTGTTGCTTGTTAGGATATGATATTTGGTATTACAAAAGCTATGTCTGAGTATAAGCTCTCTGGGAATTCTCTTTCCCGATATCTCGTACT